GGTTTTTCATTCACTAGAATCCTTAGATGCCTTCATTTCTCAGAGCTCTAGAACTCTCATCCCATAGAACTGACAAAGGGAATTGAAAGCGATTGCTAACTCTTGGTAGTACTTACGAAGCATTAGAACATCTTAACCTAAGTGGCCCAAGGTATATATTCTTCAGTTTTTCTTATTCATTGTACAAGAAATTTAGCTATGTTAAAATCTATAGATTGATGTAGATATATGTGGAGAGAAACATTACATAACAATTTCGCAAACATTTCATTCTAGCAAACATTTCTGTTGAGTGCGAGCCACTATGTACCATATGTACCATAGTATAACCATATGCCTAAGGTGCCATATGTATATATACTAGTATACCATATGTATATGGACCATTTGTATAGGTACCATATGTATGTGCCAGATGTAACATAGTCTATTATATAACAAGTATTATATAATCAGAAAACATTATAACAGTAAATTCAAAAGGTCATTTAATAAAGGTTATTAATATTGGTTTTTAGTTGAACTCTTTCAGTAAAACAGAGCTGCTGATTGAAGCAACTCACACATTTTTCTGTCAGTGCTTAGAGGTGATACAGATGAGTCTATCTTACTGTGGAGTAAGAAAGCCCATCAACATGTTTACTCCGTGGCAAGTACTAGCCAGTGTGAAGAAGGAACACATGATTTATAAATAGCTCTAAAGAACTAGAATATCGGATCTAGGAGAGGAACACAGTAGGAATTAAAGACTCTCTAGGCAACTATAACTATATATACAATCTCCTCCTGTCTACTCTAAAATATATTTGCAAACACAAATAGATAAATTGCAAAGCTAACACTCTAGAGTCTCATAACCATTGTTATGTGCTATAGAGTCCAAACCAACCCAAAGCTGACCCTCCCGTGAGTCTTCAGAGGCTGTAAATTGCATGGAGGGAGAGTGCCCATCCTTTTCCCTCAGAACAGCTCAACCCAGCAGTTTGTGGATCAAAATTGCCTGGTTTTAGGTTGGCAGTGCAACTCCTTACCACTCAGCCACCAGAGCCCCATACAGACTGTTGGTGTGAATCCACCAGAGGCCAGTTCTACGATTTGGTTCAAACTAGAGAACAGTAAGATTGTTATTTTTTTGGCAATGAGATTTTTGTAATAGATAAGGTTAAGTCCGCAACAAAAATCCGTTCTCAATTCATATCAAGCTGACTCCACTATTTATTTAGCTTCAAACCATGCTCTAAGTAGGGAAGGGGGAAAAAAAAATTAGATGAAACTAACCTAACACTTGCAGAGAGCTTTACAATTTTGGGGGGGTTCCTTATTTCCCCCCAAGAGGGCTTTACATTTTATAAAGCACTTTCACATATTCTCTGAGGCTATTTAGTAATTGCCTATACCTAGATGGAGAAGAGATTGAGGTTTTTAACAGTTACAGCTTGCTTGGCTCCACAATCAACACTCTTGGCACCAGCAGTCAGTAAATCAAAAGATGAATTGTGTTAGGTAAGTCTGATATCAGGGACTTTCCAGAGTACCAAGAAGCAACAATGTCAGTCTTTAGACTAAGGTGCATCTGATCCAGTCCATGCTCTTTGCAATTACCTGCTATGCATCAGAGAACTGGACAGTGACTAAGGATGGTAGAAGAATTGATGCCTTTGAGTTGTGGTGCTAGAGAAGAGTCTTGAACATACTATGGATCACCAAGAAGGTTGGTCTTGGAGAGGGTGAAACCAAGTTTCTCCTCAGGTGCCAGGATTTTGAAGCTCCTTCTTACATATTTTGGGCATGTGGCCAGGAGGGACCAATACCTGGAGAAGGACAACATGCTCTGGAAGTTGGAGGGACAGCACAGGAGAGAAAGACCTCGAATGAGATGAATACAGTGACTGGGGCAATGGGGGTAGGTGAGTTGGAGTCAGTGAGACTGGCTTAGGACAGGGTAGGCTTCAGAGCTATTATACATAAAGTCACTATGAGTCGCAGGTGACTCAATGGCACATAACAACATCCCTAGTTTTACTGGAAGTTTGAAATCAAGGTATGAGTAGGGCTATGCTCTCTCTAAAGGCTCAGAGAGAGAATCCTTTTTTTTTTTCCAACTTCTGTTGGCTCCAGGATTTCCTTAGTTGTGGCAGCATGACTCCAACCTCTTTGTCCTTACATGGGCCTCTTTCCTGTGTTTCTCCTCTGCGTGTCCTCTTCTAATTGCTCTCTGCCTCATACCTGTCATTGGATTTAGGGTACATTCATGTAATTTAGGAAAATCTCATTTTGAGATCCTTAATTTGATGACATCTACAAAGACTCTACTTCTAAATAAAGTCACATTTATGGGTTCCAGGAGTTTGAATTTGGGTATATCTTTCAGGAGATCATGACTCAATCCATTAGGAGTCACTGCATGGTATAAACACACACTCAACTACTAAACAAAAGGTTGGTAGTTGAAACCCACTTAGAGAGATACCTTGAAAGAAAGGCTTGGCAAGGCATCCTGTTTCCAAAAAGTCACACCCTTGACAAATTTTATATAGTTTAACTCTGCAGCAAATACATCACCATGAATTGGAATAAACTCTGTTGCAACTTTAAAAAGATTTAACCCACTACAACGTGGGAAATCTTTACACATTATGAACTTTATTATAATATGTATTCTAATAGAGGAAAAATATACACTATCTTTAGTCTAACAATTGGAAAACAAATTATTTTCTATATTCTCTCTGTGATATTGTTATTGTTGTTGAGTACCATTGAGCAGCTGGAACCAGCGCATAGCTGACCTCCAGGGGGTTTCCAGAGGCAGTTAATCTCATGGGAGGAGGTTGTCGATCATTTTCCCACAGAGCAGCTGGTGGATTCAAACTACATGCCTTCGGGATTGCAGTGCAGTTTCTTACCACTAGGCCACCAGAGCTCCCTATTCGCTCTATAGGATATTTTGTTTGTTATCATTAAAGTTATGATTAAAATTATTTTTTATGTTGAGTTGGCACAAACCCATAACTGACCTTCCATGAGGCTTCTAAGGTTGTAAATCATAATGGAGATTGTCCATCTTTCTTCTGAGGAGCTGCTGGTGGGTTTGAACCATCAATGGTACAGTCCTTGGGTTAGCCATGCAATTCCCAATGGACTATGCCTGCAAAGCTCCTTAAATATGGTATCATAAAACTGAAAACCAAACTCGTGGCTATCAATTACAACTCATATCAACACCACATATTACAGAACTGCTCCACTGGGCTTTTTTTACTGGATTCTTTAGGGGAGCAGATTGCCAGGCCTTTCCTCCCACAGATATGCAGCTGTGTAGATTCAAACTGCCAAACTTCACTTTAATTGTTGCCGTGTACAGTCATGTGTCAAGTTTTCGCAATTCCTTGCTATGTATTAGAAAGCTGGACAATGACTAGAGATGATAGAAGGAGAATTGATGCCTTTGAGCTGTGGTGCTAGAGAAGAGTATTGACTATAAAATGGACTGCTAAGAGAACAGGTTTGTCCTGGAGAGGGTAAGATCAGGCTGTTCCATGGAGGCAAGGATTCTGAAGCTCCATACTTCGGGCATGTTGCAAGGAAGGACCAGTCCTTGGAGAGGGTCATTATACTTGGAAGGATGTAGGGACAGTGCAAGAAAGGAAGACTCTGGATGAGATGGATTGACTCAGTGACTGGAATAATGGGGGTAGGTGTGTCAGAAACGATGAGCCATTGTGCATAGGGTCGTTATGAGTCTTTAGCAATTCACTGGCACATCAACAACAGCAGCAGCAGCAGTCAAGTTAGAATTGACCCATAGCTGACCCTAGAGCAGGTTTTTGGATGCATTAAATTGCACTGAAGATTACTATTGGGCTCCCTTGGAGTGGATGGGGGATCTGAACCTAATACCTTTGAGTTGGTATCATAATTCTTTACTAATAAGGCAGGCGCAAATTTTGTTTGTGATAGCTAAGAACTAATATAATGTAACAATCAACTCTTGTGCAATTTAGTGCCTCTGAAAATCCGCAGAAAGGTCAGCTGTGGTTTGGTCCATAAACTATCACCATAATATATTAAGTTGACAAAAGAAAATTTAACATAGAATATGATTATAATTAAGTGGTCAGGGAGGGATGTCTCCCAATTAACAGTATTCGTCAGAGGTGATTAGACACTTTCTTTTGTCTTTATCCTTATGTGCATTTTGCAAAAAATTCACAAGTTTACTCAAATATTACAAAATATGTGCCAGACACTGCTCTAGGAACTGAGTATACTTTTATTTTAGTGGACCTAGCCAAAAAAGAAACAAAATAAAACTGTTAACTGCTTATCTGTTTTTGTTGTTCTGTACCATTAAATCGTAACCTACCTATAGCTGACCCTCCAGCGGCTTTTCAAGACGCAGTTTTATCTCACAGGAGATTGTCCATTTTCTCCCGCAGAGGAGCTGATGGGCACGTCTTCAGGGATTGCAATGCAGTTTCTCACCACTAGGCCACTAGAGCTTCCTCTTACTTAATTGCAGTGCAAAATACCATACTGCTTTGGCTGGACCTGAAATGTAATCCTAGACAGTGAAAGATAGTGATATTCTATCTACTTTACGAAGGAACCAGAACGGTGAAAGGTTTTTTGTTTTTTTTATTATTTGCTGTTAATTAGAATTCACCAGAGGCTCTGCTGAAGAAAGGCATGGCAATTTGGTTTCCTAACGATTCCAACCAAGAAAACGAGAAGGAGCAATTCTAGTTTGTAACACATGGTGTCGCCATGAGTAGAGTCTACTATTAGGCAGTGGGCTATCTACTTTATGTGCTGAAAGGTGATGGCATTTATTTACAATCAACAGGTAGGCTCCAGTATCAGGGAAGCGCTAAAGCGGGATAAACCATAGGCGGAGCAGGTCTGATAGGTTTAGATTGAGCGCGAGAAATCCAGGTGAAGCGGATCACGTGACCCAAGGCGCGGGAGGAAGAGGGTAGAAAAAACGCGGCGTTTGGCCCGGCGCCTTCCTTCTAGAAAGGCGGGCGGAGCCTAAAACCAAACATTTTCGGAGAATTTCGGGGCGGGGCAGACGGGAGCGGATTTAGCTTTCAGATCTCAGAGTAGAGTTGGCTTTTTGGTTGTTGGACCCAGTGGTCGGGCGGTCTGCGGTCGGGCTGAGAGGCGTGGAGCAATGGCGACCTTTGTGAGTGAGCTGGAAGCGGCCAAGAAGAACTTGAGCGAGGCCTTGGGGGACAACGTGAAACAGTAAGAGCTGCCTGAGAGCGGCCTCCGGGTCTCCGACTGGGCCAATTTCTGGCTTCGGGCGGCCAACCTTGTCTAAGACTCCACTAGCGCGCGGAGGCCTGTGCAGCCTTGCGTTTCGGCCGGCAGGGTCGTGGGTTTTTCTCAAGCTGGGGTCGGGAAGGTGACCTGGGCCACCCAGTTAGAGGGCAAGGTCTGTCTAGTACCATTTCTGAAGCCAGCCTGTGTCGTCGCCCGGACTTGTCCTGGTTGGAGCAGGAGAAGCACACAGGCTTGATAAGTGGGTGTGGGCCTGGTACCTGGGTGCGGGACGCGCGAGGGCGGCGGGCACCCCAGTGCCTGGGCACCACTCTGCCCAGACCAGAATGGGACTGCGCAGGGTGGCAGGTCTCCGGAGGGCTTCCTGGAAACGGGGTGAGCCAGGCTTTGAAGAGACTGGAGTTACTCTTGACCTGGGCAAGGGCAGGGTGCGTTGTTGTTGTTGTTATTGTTATGTGCCCTCGAGTCACCAGCCACACAGCGATCCTGTATACAACAGCTCTGAAGCCTGCCCTGTGCAGAGCCAGCCTCAACTGACTCCAGCACACCAACTCCCAATGCCCAAATTACTGTATCCATCTCACCCGAGAGGTTTTCCTCTCCTGCACTGTGTCTCTATACCCTTCTGAGCATGATGTCCTTCCCAAGGAACCATGCGCCCAAAGTATCTGAGATGGAGGTTCAAAATTCTAGCTTCCAAGGAGAAACTTGGTTTCACCTTCTCCAAGAGAGACCTATTTGTTTTCTTGGTGGTCCATGGTATTGTCAAGACTCTTCTCCAGCACAACTCAAAGGCATCAGTTCTTTTTCTGTTATCCTTATTCATTGGCCAGTTATCTGATGCATAGCAAGTAAGTAATCGTGAAGACTATGGCCTGGATCAGGTGCACCTTCATTTCTAGACTGACATTGTTTCTTCTCAGTACTCTGGAGAGGTTCCTGGCAGATTTTCTCAGTGCAGTTTGTCTTTTGATTGCCTGACAGCTGGTGCCAAGAGTTCTGATTGTGGAGCTAAGCAAGCTAATTGTTAACAACTCAATCTCTTCTCTGTCTGTCTGGACAGAGTGTGGAAATTGTTAAACAGTATCGCTGATATCACACCTAAGCAAAATCCTGCTGAAAATTATCCAAAAAACGACTGGAACGGTACATTGACAGAGAACTGCCAGAAGTACAACCTGGGTTCTGAAGAGTTCATGGCATTAGAGACATTCTCGCCAATGTCAGGTGGATTTTGGCGTAAAGCAGAAAGTACTAGAGGAATGTCTTATCTGTATTCCATTGACTATGCAAAGGCATTTGATTGTGTGGATCACAACAAATTGTGTGTAGCCTTGAGGAAACTGGGAATCCCAGAACACTTGATTGTGCTCATGTCAAACCTATAATTGGACCAGGAAGGAGTCCTCAGAACAGATCGAGGAAACACTGAGTGGTTCAAAATTGGGAAAGGCATGCGTGAAGGATGCATCCTGTTACCATATCTTTTCAGTCTATATTTGGAACAGATATTTGAGAGTCTGGGCTTTATGAGGAGGAATGTGGCATCAGGATTGGAGGAAGACTCAACAACCAGTGTTATGCAGATGACACAGCTTTGCTTGCTGCAGGGTGCATAGTGAATATATTAGTTGAGCTAAAGCTTTATTTGCTAAGTTAACTGAGGCACCCTGAACCAAGCCATTGTATTGCCAGTTCCTTCATATGCATGGAAAAGCTGCACAGTGAGTAAGGAGGTTGAAGAATTGATACCTTAAGGGAGCTCTGGTGGCCTAGTGGCAAGAAGCTGCACTGCAATCCCAGAGGTGTTGTTTTTGTTGTTAGGTGCCGTCGAGTCGTTTCGGACTCATAGCGACCCTATGCACAACAGCCCTAAACTCTGCTCTATCCTGCGCCAACCGCACTGCCTCTGACACACCCATCCCGATTACCCCAGTCACTGAATCGATCCATCTCATAGAGGGTCTTCCCCTCCTGCGCCGTCCCTCCACCCTCCCAAGCATGATGTCCCTCTCCAAGGACCCGTCCCTCTTGGCAACATGTCCCAGAGGTATACAGTTCAAATCCACCAGATTCTCTGCTGGAAAAGGAGGGGCAATCTCCTCCTGTACCAGTCAGATCCGATACATGCACAAAGTAATAAAATTTAAAAAAAGAATTGATGCCTTTCAGTTATGGAGGTAGCGAAGACTATTGATACCATAGATTAGAAGAAACAACCTTGAAGATGTACAACCAAAATTCTCCTTAGAAGCTAAGATGGAGAAACTTAGTTCATATGGAAGGGTCCAAATTCACTACAGCGTACTGAAGCATCACTAGCCGAGTGTTTATATCCTTTTATAAATATTCTTTATACAAAATGAGTGTTGATGAAAGCAGTCAGGGGCTCAGTTGTCATCAGGACTGAACAAAGATAAGGGTATTTATCCATTCTACATTGGCCAGTTGGGCTTGGAGCCATTTTACATTATTATTTCAGTAAGAGTAAACATTAATCATATTTACTATTTTCAGGAACACAGGGACCTATTTGGGTAGGGTAAGAAGGTCAGCAAAATGAAATTGTTTCGGTTTCTACCTTACACGTACTATAAGGAGAGTTCCTGAAGAAGGACATGCTAGTAAAATAGGTCAGTGGAGAAAGACCCTTAACAACATAGTGGATACAAAAATGAGCTCAAACATTGCAACAGTTGTGAGGATGGTGCAGTACCAGGGCAGTGTTTAGTCCTAATGTACACAGAGGGTCAGTACGTCTTAAAACAACACTCTCAGCAAGAAAACAGAAAGATGGGGTAAAATAATAACTAAGCTTCCAACCTGTTAGGACTGCTTCAAATATGGCGGACAAGGCAGAAAGCACAGCTGACTCAGATGTTTAAAGTTTGCATTATCTGGAATGCTCACTGGAAAAGGGAAAATTATGGTTTAAAGCCCTGGAATGGGAGACTTGGGAGAGGCATAGTGAACCCTTTCAGGAACCTGCTGTTTGAGGTTGGGGTTTGTTAGAACCGGAGAGCAGCATACATCCAAAGTGATGTGGTTGGACCCTGTCATTTTCTGCTTAACTATTGAAGAGATTAAGTTGCTATACAGTGAGCACAGCTGCCCTTGTTGTCTAAAAGGAAGATTAATTTTCTAGCAGAGCTTTGAGTCCTTATTTTTCTGTCTGACTTACCCATGACTTAATCCTTCTGTAATTTGTGGGACGTATTACCCACATACCTTTTTCACTTCTGGGGTTTAGTGGTAAGCTGCTATCTTGCTGTTAGTGTCTGCCCCCTTCTGCTGGGGTTCTGTATAACTGCATGAATCTGAAGAAATAGGCCTCATCCCACCAACCCCAGTACTAGAGACCACTTGAGACTTAGACACTCCACTAATTGTATGAAATTCCACATTAAGGGTTTGAATCTGTTTCAGCCTTGCTTTGTCAGTCATGATAGAACCTATTCAAAACCCCGTAGTGGTGAAAACTATTTGTGGAACACTCCTTGGAAAGGGACATCATGATTGGAAAGGTGGAGAGTCAGAGAAAGAGGAAGATCCATGATGAAGTAGATTGACACAGTAACTGCAGTAATGGGCCCAAGTATGTCAGAGGTGATAAGGATGGCACAGGATAGGGAAAGGTTCAAATCTTATTGTTCATAAGGTCATTGTGAGTCCTACTCAGCTGGACGGCACGTAATAACATATGCATTACAGACACCTCATAACATACATGGACAAGATTTGACATACAATGATTGTGACACGTTTTCTGATTCCTGCCTCTGATGCCTCGCTGGGCTTCACGGGATATGAAAACTACAGAAAACTTGGATTTCCATTCATTGTTGCACATTTTCCTCCCCACCCCCTATCCTAGTTTGCTTTTCTCTTTAAAAAATTCATTCACTGTTGCATAGTTCCCCCCCACCTCCACCCCAGTCCATTTTGCTCTGCTCCTTTTATTTTGGGCTGTTGTTATGGAGATAACGCCTAATCATATATTCCTTTTAAACACTTCTTTCCCTCATCTGTTCCAGTATTGTATTCATTATTTACCCCTGTTTTTCTTAGGTTACCCCTAACCCCCAATGTCAGTCCTGTTTTATAATAGTGGCATTATGCAGTATTTGTCCTTTTGTGACTGAGATATTTCACTTAGTATAATGTCCTCCAGGATCACCCATTTTGTTTAGTATATTTTATGAGTTCGTTGTTTTGCAGGCTGTGTAGTATTCCATTGAATGAATATACCACAAGTTCTCAACCCATTCATTGGTTGATGGGCATTTGGGTTGTTTCCATCTCTTTGCTGTTGTGAACAGTGCAGCAGTAAACATGGGTGTGCACATATCTGTTTGAATGGCAGTTCTGATTTCTTTAGGCTGTATTCATTCCCGGTACTGCCAATTGCTGGATCAAACGGTATTTCTATTTCCAGCTTTTTGAGAAAGCGCCATACTGCCTTCCAGAGTGGTTGTACCATTTTACACTCCCACTAGGAGTGAATAAGTGTTCCAATTTCTCCACAACCTCGCCAGCATTTGTTTGCTGAGAAAGCAGCTTTTAAAAACGTAATGTTGTAATCCTGCATTTTCACTTTCAGATGTTCATTTTCAAATGAGATTGGTGGAGGAATAAGGTGTTTGGGATATATTTTATTTTCTCCAACACTTTCTTCTTTTCGTAATTTTCCATTGGTTTATATTCTTTATTACTACTAGAATGAAATTACTTAGTTGGGATGTCATGTGTAATATTTGGAGTTTTACTTTGGGAAATTTTGGGATGGCAGTGTTGATGTTATGCTTTGAGAAAATATGCAACATCACCCCCTAGGATACTTATGTCCTAAATGGAAAAAATAAACATAAATACAATGCTTATAGATTATTAAATCAAATTTCTATGAAGTACATTTAGAGTGTTCTTTACATGCAAAGAGGTTGAGGCTTCGTCTTGCGTACAAA